TTAATTGTTGTACACTGCCCAGAGTCACCTTGTGTGAGATGGGTGGCTATATCAATATGATAAATAAATAAATAAGTAATAAATAATTTTATGACACTGAAACTTCTAATCCTCCTCAGCCCCCAAAAAAACAAAACAAAAAACTTTGGATGTCCCCCTCCCCTTTTTTTCTTTTTCCATTATCTATCCCAGCCAGCTAATGAAGATTTAAAGATTTTGAGGAACTAGTTCAGAGTGGATGAAGATGAGAAGGGGAAAAAAAAGGTTATTTACATACAACACAGAGGTTAGCTGGGAGTTCTGGCAATTTAGGTATAAGCGTGCAACTTGTTCTGGAAGAGTAGACTTCTTTTTAAACATTGAACCTGCATCAGATTGCTCCTAGAGCATCAAAGGAATAGCTACTAATATCTTTTGTAAATATGTCCCTGAGAACTGGAATCATTATATAATAGGACTGGCAGAAATTGATAACAGGAGCAAGAGCACATGCCATAGCTACCTTTGGAGATAGTCATACAAACTCAGAACAGATAACCACACCCAATATACAATGTATTGGGTAGCCTTTTCAGAAGTCTATTTCTATGAATTATATATGGGTGAAATTCTTTATCCAATCTGATTGCATGTAATTTGCTCATATGGTCACCTGTTTTCACCTGATCAGTCAGCTGAAACCAGGGAATGTTCCAGAAGATTGAGATTATTAAAAAATGCTCAGTCCTCACTGTTCCCTGATATTGATATCCCAACCCAAATCTCCACTGGCTTTGGGCCATTATTATTCCTCCATTTAATAAAAATCTACTAATAAACTATCACTCGACTAGCCGCCAAATTTAAGTAGCAAAATTTATGTCATATAAACTGTGAGACTAGCTGGTAGCAGAAAATATTCCAGTAAACAAATACGCAGGCTTTAGAACAGGACATTCTTCAGTGGATTATAGCTTGGTTGTACATCAAGTAGTGGAACAATCCACCTGAGCTCCATAGATGCTATTATTTGCAGCATTTGTACTTTTTAAGTAAGTATTTGATTCTGTTTGCAGAGAAATTCAATGGCAGACATTAGAGGCTTCCTTGATAATCACCATCTGCTCACTCTCATTCACAATCTTTACCTAAATATTTGCCTGGGAATGAGATGCAAAGAGGTAGCCAGCTATCAGAATTGATTTCAATTAATGAATTCTTGCCTCTCTCCTATTTAATGTTTATATTATCATCATCCCTCAAAACTAGCAAATAAACATTCAGCAGTATTGGCAATATATGACAATGATACAAGTCAAGTTATCAAAAACTCCAGTAGGATTAAAAAAGCAGTGAGGATAATAGCACTATTTTGGTCAAAACACCTGCTAGAAATTTTGGGGGGAAAACCCTTAAAATTACAAACTTTGCAAATGACTGATTTTTTTCCCAGGAATTTCAAAGAATCAAGGTAGCAATTTTAAATACTTAAGAATATTTTTTTCAGGCTCCTAAAAGACAAAGACCCCATATTACATATTCTTCCTATAATGCAAAATAAACTCATCTTCTAGTATATCATTTATGCATATCAGGGGATATATTGCAGCTATTATTAAATTATTTGAAGTCAGAGCAGTGACATATCTTCTTTATGGAACACAATTAAATCTAGTCCAAATTCCTAAGGACATTATTCCAGGTGGTACAATTATCCCAAATATGGTATTCCACATTGACACAGGTTTAAGCAAAGTGAAAACCAGGACTTGCATTATCATCTTTACTGACTAAATATCCACTTGGTCCCTGAAACTTGCATTATCAGTCCTCTTGAGAAAGGCAAATAGAAGCAAAACTCCTTTGAATCAGAGCTAGTCTTGGGCTATGATTGAGGAAAGACAGAACTTAGGATAAATGTCTTAGACACGGACTGTAAAGCTGAACTCAGCAGAATCTCTACTCTTATTCCTCCAGGAGGCAATGTTTCTGAACCAGGTAAGTACTTAGATCAGATTGTGATTTCTAAATACTACAATGTATTCTTGCTGCTGTGTTTTGATGTCCAACCCACAGCTATCCTGGAAGAGAGTTATAAGAGTTATTATATAAGAACCTGCTCCTGTGAAGTTGAAGTAGTGAAATCTCTGGTCCAACTCCTCCTATACTGCTTTATCGATGCAGACAGTTGATATAGATTAATAGCGCCTTATATACAAACTCTCCCAGGTCACCTGATAAATCCTTTATTCAACATCTGATAAAGATTCAGAGATAACTATGACAATATAGTCAAGTTTATTGTAGCAACCAGCAGAATATGCCAGCAATTATCAGCAGTCAGATTTCCTTATACACCATGAAAGCTCAAAACTTCTTTGCAGTAGGGTCCTACTCAACATTTCTGCCATTTCTCTTGCCTGATTCCACTAAGTTATCAAGCTTCTTCTGCTATAATAGTGCTAAATGACGTGTAAGATATTTATTTTAATGCTATTGTATTGTTAATTGTATTGGTACCTGTGAGCATAAGGACAGACTGATATGTAAAGATTCTGCAAACCATCCAAATGAGATGCTTCATAATGTGTGGGAGCATGGATAGATAATGTATCTCTGAATCATTCCATCAGCCTCATCTTTTGAAAAATCTGAGCAGCTGTTTCCAGCTGATTCTTCATGCATTCACATGTATAGCTACTTTGCTTTCAAACCATCTTTTTCAAATGCTTCGTATAATTACATTAGATTTGTATCTACTTCGACTTTGCCAGCTCTGTTCCAAAGTAATGCCATTTACCACATGAAAAGAGATAGGAAATTATAAACTGTTTTGCTTTGAGATAGTAATTTTGGGATTGCATTAAGTCTGTGTTTTAGTTTTGCTTTCATTGCTCTGATTGATTCAAAGGAATGTACAGAGATCTCTAAAATACGCAAAATAAATACAAAGTTACAAAATGAAGAATACAGTTTATGAATTAACTACAGAGACAGAGGCTTCAAATAATCCATGGAAACGATTCAAAATACATACATACCTCTGTAACTTACAGGAATGGTTCCAGTGAGGCTCATCAATTCTCTTGATGAACCATCATTAAAAACTGTAAAGAAGCATTATATAATTTATTCAATATACAGATCATAGACATTGTGTACATAACAAAAATAAGCATATAAACTAGGTGTCAATACTTCATCTTGACCAGAAATAAGCACACATCTTTTAAGAAAATAAATATTGTACAATGTAAAGTACATGGCATACCATTTTGTATGTAGCCATAAATTTATCACTATGGGTTCTATGACAAATGCATATTGCCATGTACTGCAACTCAAGAAAACGATATTCCTTTAAAAATGAAGTGCTTATCGCAATTTGCAAAACAGACATCAAGTGATAATAATATACGGATTAAATGAAGACTATATTCTTTATTTCTATATTACTTGGATATTTTTTTCTCAGCTGAGTGACTATTTCTATTACTAGAAATAATGACTACTTGTATTATTAGAAGTGAAACAAAATTGTGTACTAGTCTCATGACCTAAGGTCATTCAGTAAAATACCTTGTTTCACTCTCTCAGTACAGGTAGTCCTCACTTAATGACCACAACTGGAATCGGCAACTCCATCACTAAGCAACATGGTAGTTAAGCGAAACATCATGTGACTATATCAGACTTACGATGTCAGTTCCGCCATAGTTAAGAGAATCATCATTAAGAGAGATGTCATGTGACTGCAACTTGCGATTTCACTGTGGCTTCTCCATTGTCTTTGCTTGTTGGAAGCCAACTGTGAAGCTCACAAATGGGAATCATGTGACTGGGACGCTGTGACAACCATAAGTTCAAGGACCGGTTGTAAGGTCACCTTTTCAGTGCTGTTGTAACTTCGAGCAGTCACTAAACAGGACAGTTGTTGACTGAGGACTACCTGTAAAATTATTTCTGTGCAATATAATGAATTATTGACTAGATTGTTACAGAGTAGTTGAATGTTAACAAAAAACACAGAACATAATGTAGAAATTTACCATAGCTATCCATAACAGGTTTGAGATCTTTGTACTGGCCAGTAACATTGACAGTTTCCTGAACAGCCAGGTCTCTGTACTTGTACTAGGAAAAAGAAAAATGTTTTAAAATACTGCTCACTAAAAGCAAGCCTACAGATAGCACATCAGCTTATTAGAACATGAACTCAGTGTTTGGAATCTTCTACTACAGGTTATGACAGATGAAATTCTATGATCACAAATTATTTTTCCCTTAACCATTTTTGCCTGTGAAACTGTTCAACTGATTATCACCAGGGATTGAAGAGCAAGCATGATTAACCAGGGACAATTAGAAATATATCTCATAATACAAAGTGAATTAAACACAATTCTATGTTTAAATTGCTTATGTGAAATCAGAATGACCCTATTCCAAGATTCCATGTTATTTATATGAATGGAGGTCCAGAAAGTAAAGGAATTTCCTAAAGAATCAATATAAAATAGGCAAATGATATTGCAATTACATAAGTTGTAAATTAAAACTAAAGTACTTGGGACAGTCCAGATGTTGAATTCCCAGCACTCTTTATCTCTGTTCATTCCTGCTCCAGAAATATCTGGAGGACCATAGACCCCCAGTCCTTAAGGCAGAGAAATATGGGCTGTATCCAATGGTGCCATTCCACATACAGAATGGCTTCTGCCAATTGAGCATATTATTCCTTTCCTGCACTCTTGACTACTGCTTTGGAGGGTTGGGAGATTTGTAAGGGAAAGAAAATGTTGGGATATCAAAATAAGAGAAGCTCCTGCTATATGAGCAGAGAGATGTATTTCTGTAACATGAGAAGCAGCTTGCACATATGGATTTATTTCATACACAGAGACACATATAGAAATATGTAAGTGTGCAATATGTACTAATCATTCTTGGACAGACCAGCTGATTGAAGAATTAGATAGCAAGCTATAAATACCATTTCCTAGTAAAGCTGTCAGGCTGTTTTCTAAATTTCACTGTTTATGGGATAACAAACTTAAGTTATTAAAACTACTTAAGTTAAACTTATTTAATTCTGCTTTGTCCACAAATATAAGTGTGTGTCTGCAAACATGCACATATTGGTTACCTTGTAGCTCACAAAAATCCACAATCTTTCGAAAATGTTAATAAACATCTTCTATATATAGTATAATATATTTATTTATAACAATCACATTAGGTGCATTTCTCTGCCAACTCTTCTTCAAGATGATGCGGCATCCACAACAAACCGGGATGATGCCAAAATGACATCTAATACAAGTGAGGTGCTTGTATGTATTATTTGCACGATTATGCCATTTTGCATACATTGTCATTTGCCCTCCTTGCCTGCCTCCCAATCTATGTTAAAGAGGCATATAAGGATTTTTATATGCTGCCACATCTAGGTGGCAGGAATGCATATAAAAGACAGAAAATCAAAAAGGAGGCAAACCCTCAATATTAAAAGGAATAATATTTATTCAAGTGCATAGTAAGCCAAAAAGTACTATTCTTACCCCAAATTCATCTTTCAAATGCATGAAAAAATAATTTCATTTTTTATTTATTTACTTAAATATTTTCTTTCTAGTTCCTTGTATTTCTTTAAGTTAAGCCCGACTATGCAGCTAATGTCAAAGAATATATTTTTAAATATTCATATGGAACAGAAAAGGAAATAATAGAAAATAAGGAGCCGCTACTTGGAAAATGATCTGGAAAAAAAGGAAATAAAATAAGGGGTGACTAACAGAAAACTTGGAAATAACAAGCCAACCAAAGGATTCCAGAGAAAGACCAGTGCCCACTCGTATTGACCTTTCATTTGGAGCTGACTGTTGGAACAAGTGGGCCCCCAGGATTTAGTCACTTTTTATTTGTTGGTGCAAAAGTTGGTGTCTGACGAGGAAGCGGCAAACATTGTCCGCTAATGAGAAAAAAGTGAAAGGCTAATGCCTCCGGAAGGTTCTCCAAAGGTAAGACGCTTTTGTTTTTCCTCTACCATCGCCGCCCAGAAAGACTAGACAGAGGCCTTCAACAGGGGCGACTGGGCTGGGCCGACTCAAGGCTGCTTTTAGAAGGACGCCTCAGAAGCAGGCTGGCGTTTACCTTAATGAGCATTTTCTTCAGCTGACTCTCGGACAAGGCCATGGCGGCAGTGGTTCCTCCCGCTGCCGGTCGCACTCCCTCTATAATGCCCCCCCCACCTACTCCAACTCCCGGACGAACAAGACCTTTTCCCAGTTCCGCTTCCGACAGCCCCCTCGAACGTTTCCGCTCGGCGATACCGCGAAACGTCACTTCCGGCGGCAAAACCCCTCATTAAGGCACGTGAAAATAACCATAGAGTTTCGACTTTAACACCTCTAGGAAACCAAATCATAGAGAGGGTTGCAGGGCAATCCAATATTACAATCCGTTCTGGGTTGTCGGTGGTTGGATGTAAATGTGGTACTGTATATTAATCACTAAGGGCGTGGGACTAAGAGCAGAGAGACTCAGATTCCAGTACTTCCTCAGGCAAAAAACCTATTGGGTGATTTGGGGACAGCCGCACTCTCTTCACCCAACCTATTTTAGAGGGTTGTTGTGGGGAAACTAACGAGAGGATGGAGTGCTGTGTATGCCAGTTTGAGCTCCTCAATCAAAGTCGGGTATAAATGAATAACACCAAGAACAATGCGCAATTATAAGTAAACTCATTACTGCTATAAATGCAGTAATTTAAATTTAACTGCCCTGAGTCGCTGGGAGTTGGGCAATATATAAATTTATTATGGTTGGTCGCACAGTCAACCAGATGTTTAGACCGGATTTGGCATTTTTATCCAACTATCGAGTCCTTCCCAAGGATCTGGGATAGGCAGATGTTGTTGTCTGATGGTGTTAAAGGTATCGTCACAGGATAGAAGCTGTTCCAAGTAAAGCTGCCTTTTGCA